CTGCTTTTAATATTTTTTCTTTGTATTTAATTTTTGCTAGTTTGATTGATAATGTGTCTTGGCGTGTTTCTCCTTGGATTTATCCTGTATGGGACTTTGTGTTTCCTGGACTTGATTATTTCCTTTCCCATATTAGAGTAGTTTTCAACTATAATCTCTTCAAATATTTCCTCAGTCCCATTTTTTTCCTCTTCTTTTTCTGGGACCCCTATAATTCGAATGTTGCTGTGTTTAATGTTGTCCCCCAGGTCTCTGAAACTGTCCTCAATTCTTTTCATTCTTTCTTCTTTATTCTGCTCTGCAGTAGTTATTTCCACTATTTTATCTTCCAGGTCACTTGTCCATTCTTCTGCTATTGATTCCTCCTAGAGAATTGTTAATTTCATTTATTCTGTTGCTCATCATTGTTTGTTGGCTCTTTAGTTCTTCTAGGTCCTTGTTAAATGTCTCTTGTATTTTCTCCATTCTGTTTCCTAAGATTTTGGATCATCTTTATTATCATTACTCTGAATTCTTTTCCAGGTAGACTGCCTATTTCTTCTTCATTTGTTTGGTCTGGTGGGTTTTTACCTTGCTCCTTCATCTGCTGTGTATTTGTCTGTCATTTTGCTTAACTTCCTGTGTTTGGGGTCTCCTTTTCACAGGCTGCAGGTTCCTAGTTCCTGTTTTTTTGTGTCTGCCCCCAATGGGTAAGATTGGTTCAGTGGGTTGTGTAGGCTTCCTGGTGGAGGAGACTGCTGCCTGTGTTCTGGTGGATGAGGCTGGATCTTGTCTTTCTGGTGGGCAGGACCGCGTCTGGTGGTGTGTTTTTGGGTGTCTGTGAACTTATGATTTTAGGCAGCATCTCTGCTAATGTGTGTGGTTGTGTTCCTGTCTTGCTAGTTGTGTGGCATAGGGTGTCCAGCACTGTAGCTTGCTGCTCGTTGAGTGGAGCTGGGTCTTAGCATTGAGATGGAGATCTCTGGGAGAGCTCTTGCTGACTAATATTATGTGGGGCTGGGAGGTCTCCTGTGGTCCAATGTCCTGAACTCAGCTCTCCCACCTCAGAGGCTCAGGCCTGACACCTGGCTGGAGCACCAAGACCCTGTCAGCCACACGGCTCAGAAGAGAGAAAATAAATAAAATAAAGATATTAAAATAAAAAATTTAAAAAATATTTTTAAAATAAAAATGTAATTAAAAAAGAAGAGAGCAACCAAACCAATAAACAAATCCACTAATGATAACAAGCATTAAAAACTAAACTAAGGTAAACATAAAGATCAGAAACTAGTCTGTCGCATACAGCAAACCCCCCAAGTGTATAGTTGCTCCCAAAGTCCACCTCCTCAATTTGGGATGATTCCTTGTCTATTCAGGTATTCCACAGATGCAGGTACATCAAGTTGATTGTGGAGATTTATTCCTCTGCTCCTGAGGCTGCTGGGAGAGATTTCCCTTTCTCTTCTTTGTTTGCACAGCTCCTGGGGTTCAGCTTTGGATTTGGCCCCACCTCTGCGTGTAGGTCGCCTGAGGGCGTCTGTTCCTGCCCAGACAGGAGGGGGTTAAAGCAGCGCCTGATTAGGGGGCTCTGGCTCATTCAGCCGGGGGAAGGGAGGGGTACAGAATGAGGGGCGAGCCTGCAGTGGCAGAGGCCAGTGTGATGTTGCAACAGCCTGGGGTGTGCTATGTGTTCTCCTGGGGAAGTTGTCCCTGGATCACAGGACCCTGGCAGTGGTGGGCTGCACTGGCTCCTGGGAGCGGAGGTGTGGAGAGTGACCTGTGCATGCCCACAGGATTCTTGGTGGCTACAGCAACAGCATTAGTGTCATGCCCATCTCTGGTGTCTGTACTGATAGCTGTGGCTTGCGCCTGTCTTTGAAGCTCATTTAGGCAGTGCTCTGAATCTCCTCTCCTCATGCACCCCAAAACAATGGTCTCTTGCCTCTTTGGCAGGTCCAGACTTTTTCCCAGACTCCCTCCCGGCTAGCTGTGGTGCACTAGCCCCCTTCAGGCTGTGTTCACGCAGCCAACCCCAGTCCTCTCCCTGGGATCTGACCGCCAAAGCCTGAGCCTCTGTTCCCCGCCCCCACCTGCCCTGGTGGGTGAGCAGACAAGCCTCTTGGGGTGGTGAGTGCTGGTCGGCACCGATCCTCTGTGCACGAATGTCTCTGCTTTGCCCTCTGCACCCCTGTTGCTGCGCTCTCCTCCGTGGCTCCGCCACCCGCAGTCTCCGCCCGCGAAGGGGCTTCCTAGTGTGTGGAAACCTTTCCTCCTTCACAGCTCCCTTCCACTGGTGCAGGTCCCGTCCCTATTCTTTGGTCTCTGTTTTTCCTTTTTCCTTTTGCTCTACCCAGGTACGTGGGGAGTCTCTTGCCTTTCGGGAGGTCTGAGGTCTTCTGCCAGCATTCAGTAGGTGTTCTGTAGGAGTTGTTCCACGTGTAGATGTATTTCTGATGTATTTCTGGGGAAGAAGGTGATGTCCGCGTCTTACTCCTCTGCCATCTTGAAGGTCCTCTTAATGTATTGTTGAATTCAGTTTGCTAGTATTTTGTTGAGGATTTTTGCATCTATATTCATCAAGGATATTGGCCTATAATTTGTGTGTGTGTGTGTGTGGGAGGGTATGTGTGTGGCATCCTTGTTTGGTTTTGGTATCAGGGTAATTCTGACCTTGTAAAATGAGGGCAAGTCGTTTTTAAAGTCATTTTAAAACCTTGTTTGGAAGTGTTCCCTCTTCGTTTTTTTGGGGAAGAGTTTGTGAAGAATTGATACTAATTCTTTAAATATTTAGTAGCATTTACCTGTGTGGCTGCCTGGTCCTGGATTTTTGTTTGTTGGGAGCTTTTTGATTATTGATTCAGTCTCCTTACTGGTAATTGGTCTGTTCAGATTTTCTATTTCTTTGTAGAAGCTGAAAATGTATTTAATACAGCTAACCTACTGAACATTGTAGCTTAGCCTAGCCTACCTTAAACATGCTCACACCAATTACATGAGCCTACAGTTGGGCAAAATCATCTAACTCAGTCTATTTTACAATAAAGTGTAATTTATTGAGCTTCTACTGAAAGTGAAAAACAGAATGGTCGTTAAGTGCACTGGCTGTCTACCCTGTGATTATATGGCTGACTGGGAGCTGTCCAGCACAAGAGAGAATCATACAGAAGATTTACATTCAGATTTGAAGTACAGTTTCTACTAAACGCATGTCACTTTTGCACCATCATAATTCAGGGACTATCTGTACATCTCTAGAAATTTATTGATTTCTTCTAAGTTCTTGGTGTACACTTGTTTATAGTAAAATTGTTCATAGTCTCCTTGATCTTTTGTATTTCTGTGGTAATCAGCTATAATGTCTCCTCTTCGATTTCTGATTTTGAGTCCTCTCTTTTTTTCCTTGGTGATACTAGCTAAAGGTTTGTCAATTTTGTTTCTTTTCTAAAAAAACAAGTGACTTAGTTTCATTGATCATTTTTAGTCTCTATTTCATTGAACTCCACTCTGAACTTGGTCATTTTCTCTCTGTGTACTAACACCGGACGTCATTTCTTCTTCTCTTTTGAGTTCTTGGGGTGTAAAGTGAGGTGGTTTATTTGAGATGTTTCTTGCTTCTCGATGTAGGCATTTATCATTATGAAATCCCCTCTTCGAACTTTTCCCATAAGTTTTGTTATGTTGTATTTTTACTTGCCTCCAGGTATATTTTGATGTTTTTTGCCCCACTGATTGGTCAGTAACATGTGTAATCTCCACATATTTGCGACTCTGCAGTTGTATTCTCCTAACTGATTTCTAGTTTCATACTGGTATGGATGGAAAATATGCTTGACATGACTTCCCCCTTCTTAAATTTCCTAAGACTTGTTTTAACATATGACCTATTGTGAAGAATGCCCCATGTACGCTTGAGAAGATTGTGTGTTCTGTTGCTTTTTTAGATGGTATGTTCTGTACATGTCTGTTAAGGTCACTGATGTACTTAACACCAGACTTAACTAATGTCATTTAAGGCTGCTATTTCCTTACTGATTCTCTGGGATGACCTATCCACTGATTAACATCCCTACTCTGTTTCTCTCCTTAGGTCTGTTAATCTTTGCTTTATATAATTAGGTTGTCCTCTTTTGGGTGCATAAGTATTTACAAATGTTAAATTCTCTTGTTGGATTGACCCCTTTATCATTATGTAATGACCTTCCCGATTCCTTAGTACCGTCTTTGTCTGGAAGTCTATTTTGTTTGATCTAAGTACAACTCCTCCAGCTTTCTTTTGGTTTCCATTTGCATGGATTATCTTTTTCCGTCCCTTCACTTACATTCTGCATGTGCCCTTACATCTGAAGTGAGTCTCTGTTAGACAGGATAGAGATGTGTCGTGTTTTTTATAATCCATTCAGCCACTCTCTGTCTTTGGATTGGAGCATTTAATCCATTTACATCTGAGTAAAGCTTCACATTTTTGCACCACACCCCATGTGTTGTGTTTCTGATGTCACCATTTACGTTGTTTATCCATCTTGTGTATCCATTAACAAATTACTGTAATTACAGTTTTTACCTTTTCTGCCTTTTAACCTTCATACTAGATGTATAAATGGTTCACCAATCACCTTTCTACCTCATTAGAGGATTCTGAATTTTACTATATATTTACCAGTGAAATTTATACTGTCATGTGTGTTGTTACTAATTAGAGCCCTTTACTATCAGTAAAGAAGTCCTTTTACCATTTCTAGTAAGGCTGCTGTAGTGGTGGTGAACTCCTTCAGCTTTTGCTTGTTAGGAAAACTCTTTATCTGTCCTTCAAATCTGAAGGAAAACTTTTGTGGGTAGGGTATTCTTGACCAGCAGTTTTTTTTTCCTTTCAGCACTTTGAATATATCATACTACTCCCTTCTGGCCTGCAGTGTTTCACCTGAGAAAACTGCTAATAGTCTCGTAGGGGTTCCCTTGTACAAAACGAGTTGTTTTTCTCTTCAAGAGTCTCTAATTGTAAAGTGTCTTGATATGACTGTCTTTGGTTTATCTTATTGAAACTCCCAGGGCTTCCTGGATCTGAATGACTGTTTCCTTTCCCAGGTTAGGGTCGTTGTCAGCCATTATTTCTTCAGATAAATTTTCTGCCCCTTTCTCTTCTTCTGGACTCCTATCATGCCAGTGTTGTCTGCTTGATATCCTATAAGTCCATGAAGCTATCTTTCCTCTTTTTCATTCTTTTTTCTTTTTGCTGCTCGGATAGGGTGAGTTCCACTGCCCCGTCTTTGAGTTCACAGATCCCATCCTCTGTATCTAGTCTGTTGTTGAACTCCTCTAGAGCACTTTTCAGTTGTTACTACATTCTTCAGCTCTGTGACTTCTGTTTGTGCTTTCTTATATTTTTCATTTCTTTGTTGAAAATTCTCACTTTGTCCATCCATTCTTCGCGTGAGCTCTGTGAGCATCTTTATGACTATTATATTGACTCTATTACGTAAATCACTTATCTCCATTTCATGAAGGATTTTTCCCTGAGGTTTTATCTTGTTCTTCCATTTGGAACATATTCCTCTGTTTCTTTATTTTGTTTGACTCTTGTTGGTTTCTGTGCATTAGCTAAAACTGCCACCTCTCCCAGTTTTGAAGGAGTGACATCATGTAGGGGATGAAACTTAACCCTGTCCCAGCTCTTGGTTTTCTCTCAAACCTTCGTGATTGTTCAGGGAGCCTACTTGATTTTTAAAGGTTCCCTACTTTAGGGCATGCCATGATCAACCAACGTTCCAAAGGTGAGGATCTCAATAAACAGATTTAGGCTGACGGGAAGCCACACCCTTAGGCAAAAGTATGCAAATATACCTTTTTCAAGGGAAGACTGGCAGAGGGCTATTTCTATCTGCTCTCTCTACACTGAGCCCTGGGGTGATAGTTAAGAACTATTTTTTCTTCTTTGCTACCATCACATTGAACTTGTGAACACAAGCCCTGCTGGTCACTGAGCCCGGATAACAAGAACTATGGCCTCTGGTTGGCAGACCCAAGAGCCAGTGTGCCTGACATGTACACAAGGCTCCTTTCTTGGACACGCTGATGACCTGAGGTTAGGGAGGGCGTAAAGATGGGCTATGCCTTTCTCCTCTGGCTAGGATTGTAATTGGCCCCTTCCTGTATGTTTAATTACAAGCCTGCCCCTTGGGCCACAGCTATGAAAATAAGCTAAGAAGCCTCTCTCACAGAAAGACTGGGGTGTGTTTCAGTCTGCTCAGAACCTGGCAATATAGTGCTGTCCCCTGGTCAGCAGCAACCTCCTTTTTGAGAGGTGCTGACAAGCTGGGGCAAGGAAGGGTACACAATGGTAGCTGCTGGCCTCCTCTGTGAAGAGTATTTCACAGGCCCCTGGATGAGTGTTCTGCCCCTCAGGCTGAAGCTTTAGGATAAGGAAATAAGCCTCTTTCACAGAAAGACCGGGCACTTGGCTGCCTCTGCTCTGGGACCTGGAGAGGAGAACCTGTACCAGCCCTTGAAGAGCTATTTCTCACTTCACTATAGACTTGTGGGTCTTGGTGGCTTTCAAAGTTCGATGTCTTGGGGCTCCCCTCTCAGGTGCAGATCTTAAATGTTGGGGCAACCAGTGTGGGGTTCAAACCCTTCCCTCTTTAGGGAAAAGCTCACCTTCCCTCTTTAGGGAAAAGCTCAAGGTTATGAGTTCCCTCTTGATTAGGAGTTGCTGTGCTGTGCCTGGGGTTCAGGGCCTCTCCTACGTGCTTCGACATTTTGTTCCCTCCAGTGTGTAAATTTTTCTGTATGTGGGTTCTGGGAGAGCAGGTGAGTTTAGGAGCCTCCTGTGACCACCTCGAACTGGAATTTCCCCTCTGTTCCCTCCTCTGTGAAATGCAGGTATGGCAATGTTTAACGCAATAAAAAAACAAGGTGATTGTATCGAAATAGGGCTGTGCTGAGGAATAAATGGGATACAGCACATGTTAAAACATTCAGCATATCACTGGGCTCGTGTTAAGCACTCAGTAGAACCAACCATTGTATTACCACCTGTTTTCATCATTGTGAGTTAGATACTGTGTTTCTGTATTGGTTTGCTCTCCTGTCATTATGTGGTGACGTCTCTCAAGGATTTACATGCTTATTGCAGAAGCCACATGGACACTAGTCAACATTCACTTAGGCTGATTTTTTTGAGGTTATTCCCTATCTTTAGTTTTAGATTGTCTTACGTTTGTTATTCTATTATGGTTTTCCCTTTTCTGCCAATGCAAGCTAAGAAGTCAAAATTTCCAAATTTTATTTCCTTACCTATCACATAAACCATTTTAAAAAATGGAGTTAGTTACTAATGAATCCTGGTGGGTGTTTGCTCTATCTGGGCAGCCCACCCATTAGGATTTTTTAGTAGAATTTTATTACATAGAAACAACAATGTTACTTTGTCCAGCTACTCTGGCAAATGAAAATATCAAGTTGTCATCCCTTTTACAAAACCACACACCTAAGTTTTCAAGTACAGTTACATAAACAAAAACACCTATGGTTACAAGGTGTTTGTATGTTCTTAGTGTTTATCTTTAGACCCAAGCAACAAAGACTCCATGCAGAAAGCTGAAGAGGTTTTCATCATGCTAGAGGTTTTTTCAGAGTCAAGGTTTTCAAAAAGGCAGGTAAGCTGGTGGATAGAAATAGCTTCTGAAGTTATATCACATCTGTCCAAAAATGAAAATCATTTTTCATGCCCAGCATTTTCTAACTTTCACAGAACAATGCAGAAAGTGTTTTATTCTCAGGCTGTGAAAGACGAACCAAAACCAATGATGTGGAAAAATAATGATCTCCATTATAATGATCTCCATTTCTCTACACTTACCATAGCTTTTTATTCAAGTAGCACAAGTGCTCAACACGCTGCTTTTAGGGGGTTATATTTTTCTGACTTTTGAACCAATGTGCAAAAGGGAAACAAGGTTATTCAAAGGCAAAAGTAGAAGAACAAATGATGAAGTATAGGAAGGGAGTGATATCTGCCAGTTTTCTTTTGACAGTAGAAGAACAAATGATGAAGTATAGGAAGGGAGTGATATCTGCCAGTTTTCTTTTGACTTATGCCTCTTTCCCTGAACGAGTGGGTGCAGGGGGCCAGGTTTTTGCTTTACTGTCTGGCATTATCAATCCTTTGTGGACAGTATTAACCAAACATTCCTTGAGATTCCATTATTATTTCTGTATTTCAGCTGATGTTGGGACAACCACCATGGCAGCACCAAACGTTTGCTTAGTCATTACATATTCATTCAACAAATTAGTGACAAAATTGTTGAAATAAGGAGAGTACCAGGTGTAAGACTGGGGAGGGATAGAGTGGAGGAGACTATCACGTGCCCATGGCAGGATGGCATTTTCTCTTCCCTTTGTTACTTGTTTCCCTTCCTCTCCTTATTCTATTGGGAATGGAAAATTTTAGCATAATAACCCATGGCAGTTATGGTATGAGTGTGATTAAAGAATGACAGTGTCTCTTGGCAGGAATGTAAATTGGTTCAGCCACTATGGAAAACAGTAAGGTGGTCCCTCAAATAATTAAAAATAGAATGATCTAGCAATCCCACTCCTGGGTATATATCTGAAGGAAGTGAAATCACTGTCTTGAAGCAGTATCTGCACCCCCATGTGTACTGCAGCATTATTTACAGTAGCCAAGACATAAACAAGTGTCCCGGACCAGATGAATGGATAAACAGATGGTGGTATAAATATACATAATGGAGTATTATTCAGCCATCAAAAGGAGGGGAAAATCCTACCTTTTGTAACAACATGGAAGGACCTCGAGACCATTTTACTCAATGAAATGAGATTATACAACATTTTTCATTCTCTAACTTATGTGTAGAATCTAAGAAGTCGAACTCATAGAAATAGTAAAATTGTGGTTGCCAGGGGCTGGGAATTGGGGGAGATGCCGGTCAGAGGGTGCAGACTGTCAGTTCTACCCTGGGGATGTAATGTACAGCATGGTGACTAATACTGTATTGTATACTTGAAAGCTACCCAAGAATAAATGTTCTAACCACACACATATGCACATGGTAACGAAGTGATGCGTATGTTAACTATCCTTTATCATTTTGCAATATATATGTGTATCAAATCATCATGCTGTACACTTTAAACCTACACAGTGTTAATTTACAGCTCAATACAGCTGAGGGAAAAAAAGAATGACAGTGTCCATCCTCACCCTCCCAGGAACAAGAACCACTGGGTGAATGAGTCCCTTTGCCAGGCCACAAGGAGCAGCAGTGGGGTGGCGGGGAGAACAGGGCAGTGGAAAAGAAGAGTAGCATGCCAAGGGACAAAAGGACCAGCATATCTCACTGACTCGTTAAAGACTACATATGTAGAAAAGGCAAACAGTGATTTGCAGCACACCCTAGAATTTGTGTGTGTTTGTAATCCGCACGGAGCACGATTATGCTGTTTTCCATAACGGGCTCTACCTGCAGGCCCTTCCAGACGTCTCAGGACACATTGCAGTGTTACGTATCATTTCTCTAATTTTTCCACGGAGATGAAAATTTGTTACCTCCTGAGCATACACAAACTGATGTGGAAATCATAAGAATCATTAGGGCACTTCTATTAATTACCAAACCTTGAAGCCATGCTAGATAGTATTAGGTTTCTACAATAGGAGACAACCCATCCCATCCTATGCTTGCGTTTGGTTCTTTGGTAGTCCAGAGTCAGATGCTTAATGCTCTTCCATTCTACAACTATTCAAGGTCACCTCTTGTTCCAAGACAGCTGCTAGGGTGCCAGCCAGAAGGAGGAGGTTAAAGGGACAAATGTCCCAGGCACATCAGCTCTTTTTGAAGAGCCTTGTAAACTTCCCTACTACCTTTTCACTACCCTCTCATTAGCCAGGACTGATTTAAATGGCCACATCTTTTTTTTTTAACCTTTATAATTGCTTTACAATGGTGTGTTAGTTTCTGCTTTATAACAAAGTGAGTCAGCTATACATATACATATATCCCCATATCTCTTCCCTCTCCCTCCCTTCTAGGTGGTCACAAAGCACTGAGCTGATCTCCCTGTGCTATGTGCTGCTTCCCACTAGCTACCTACTTTACATTTGGTAGTGTATATATGTCCATGCCACTCTCTCGCTTCATCCCAGCTTACGCTTCCCCCTCCCTGTGTCCTCAAGTCCATTCTCTACCTCTGCGTCTTTATTCCTGTCCTGCCCCTAGGTTCTTCAAACCATTTCTTCTTCTTTTTTTAGATTCCATATATATGTGTTAGCATACGGTATCTATTTTTCTCTTTCTGACTTATTTCACTCTGTATGACAGTCTCTAGGTCCATCCACCTCACTACAAACAACTCAATTTCACTTCTTTTTATGTAAATGGCCACATCTTGGTGTACTGCCGGCTGGGAAATGTGGTTTTTCAGTCGCTCACCTTGCTACTCCAACCAAAACTGGAGTTCTGATATATATATTGGGTAAACCACTCACGAAAAACTACGTATGTCCTAAGAGTTAAAGTTACCATTAACCATTTCACTAGGTGAATGATACGTTCACTTGAGTATGCTGTAATGTACAATTCTGGAAAACTCTGGCTGTTAGAAAGGCAGGAGTGGGCTTCCCTGGTGGCACAGTGGTTAGAAATCCACTTGCCAATGCAGGGGACCACGGGTTCGAGCCCTGGTCCGGGAAGATCCCACATGCCGCAGAGCAACTAAGCCTGTGCGCCACAACTACCAAAGCCTGCACACCGCAACAAAGACCCAATGCAGCCAAAAATAAATAAAAGGCAGGCAGGACTAATTTTCTTTCTCTTCCTCCAGTGCAAGTGTGCGCACATGCTCCTAAGCAGAGTTTCCTTATAAGAAAATTGCTAATTTTGAAGCAACTAAAAGAACAGGAATCATACAATTGGGTAGCCTGTATGAGACGGCAAGCGAGCATGGTACCAGTTCAAGGTTCCTACCTTTTCCTGTCCCCTTATTCTATTAATTAGCTCAAACGTCTACTGAGCACCTATATGTCATAGGTCCTCTGCTAGTCATAAAGATGATGAAAAATCTCTACCATCCCAAAGCTCTCCATCTAGTGGGAAAAATGCCCGGTGCGCATGATGACCTCCTTTCCATACATGCTACAAGAGAGGAGAGGTCATGAAGGGAGAGAAGGGGCAAAGGATGAGCAGTCAGGCTTGTCTGGAGGAGAGAGAGGCCCTTCACGGAAGAGGTGACGTGGGGGGAAAAGGCAGTTCAGGAACCCTCTAGACTGTCCAGGTGGGGGCGGTTGTATATTCCAGATAGAAAACAGCCCGAAAGTTGTTTGAGACAGGCAGACTCCAGGAGGTGATGGGGGAAGAGGACCGAGGCTGTGAGGCACAAGCACCCCCAGAGCTATGACGTGACCACCTCTGTTTCCCACCCTGGCATCTCAACCCCACGCCCAACACAACTGCTGCTGCTACCTGCCCAAATTTCACTTGTCATCCGTCCTTCAACACTGCCTCTATCAGACTTAAGTAACCACCCAGGTGAAAGGGTTAAGTCTCAGCCTTTACTCCCTGCTGTCCATCCCACCCACCCCCTTAGATCTCCTCCACCAGCCCAAGGAGTGGATTTTTGGAAATGTACATCTGCTGATTACACTCCCGTCTATAGAAAACCAACACTTCAGTAGATACCCGCAAAGTTCAGACTCCTAGTGCAGCACTGAATTTCACTGTTCCCTCTGCCTCCCTTCCCAGTCTCCCCTCTGCCGTGGCCACAGACAAGCAAGACCCTGGCTCCTGTGCGATCCCGGCCACCGCCTCACAGCACAGAGGAGTGACACACATCACTTCCCAGGTTCCACTGGCCAGAAACCGTGCTTATGGCCACACCAAACTGCAAGGGAGGCTGGAACTGCTCGTTTGTTTTATAGCTTTGTCGTTTTACTTGTCATGCTCTAAAAACAGATCACTTCCATTTCATGGTTGCAATAGCTTCTCAACGTTCTGTACGAGCAATTTTAATCTCTGAAAGTTTTTTAATTGGAAAAAATGCTTTTTAAAAAATTTTTTCCATCGGGGTCCTTTCTTTGGAATGTTCATTTTAGCTTGTCTCTGGTGCTGTTGGTTTTCCTTAAATAATGATTGCCAACACTTGCTGACTGTGTATCAGATATTGATACTACGGACATAGAGGTACGCGTTTACCTACAGCAATCACATCGAGTATTTACGACACTTCTCTCAGGTAGGTCCTGTTACTTCCCCGTTGTGCAAATGAGGAAACAGGCACAGAGTGTTACTTGCCCAGCATCAAACTCCAGATAATCCTACCGTATTGTATGGTAGACTACTTTTCAAATGAGTAGTGCATTTTGGACATCTGTGCATGGTTAAAAATGAAGTTGACATATTTTCTTTGCTTGCAGCAAAACAAACCACAATGTTCATTTCTAATACGTTCTCCTCAAACCTCTGACTTTTCTGTCTCCTGTGCAGCTTTCCCCTAATTCATGGAGAAACTGAAGCCATCAGCTGAGTGCAAACGTCCATCCCATTTCTGCAGGATCCTTCTAATAATCGTAAAATTAAGCAACACTGAATTCCTTAAAACATGATCAATTTGTGGCTTCACTTGGTGGTGAGCATTAAATATTTCAATGCAAATTTAACAAATCTACTCGGTACTGCCTGAGTAACCTAGTTTCTGAATTTAACGCACCAAAGAACTATTTTAATGGCCAGAATTAAAAACAGTACATTTCTAGAGTCCTAAACCAGCAAGATGAATTTAGATCTGTTTGTTATGAACATATTCCTGCGTTCCTAAGCTGACATGATGGTTTTAGACCTTTAAAAGACTCCGAAAAGAAATACGTGGTGAAAATTTTGGAGGTATGTTTGTTCTGGGAGATACTCAGCTCAATTTTACGGACAATTCCAGCCCTTCTGTCCTTCACAACAAATAACACAAATAGTAATTAATTATAGCGTGAGCATGAGAATAAGCCTGATCTAACAGTGTGTCCTCATTTTCTGGCACAGAGAAGACCCTCAAGAAGCATATCTGATCGGTTCTGCCTCACCCTTTCCCTGCCCAGGTGGGTGTCCGAGCCAGCCTGGACGAGGCTCTCAGTTCTCCCACGATGGAGCTGGCTGATGGTGGCTTTGATCATTAGAGTATACGGCCCTGCTTTCATCAGCGACACAGAACACTGGCCCTAGGCCCTTGCCAGAGAAGTGGGCCTTTGAACTATGTGCTGCTCACCTTTTATTGAAGCCCTCGACAGAAATATTGAAGGGGGTTTAAAGGACCCAAGATCAATGCATTCCTGACTGTGACCCTTTCATGGATCAAAAGCTCTGAAGTCTCTCCCTAGAGAAACACACATCAAATGGTGTGTTTCACCATTTCAGCCTTTCAGAGGCCTGAGTACTCTCTCAAGCACGTACTGACCCTAGAGAAGCCAGTCCACGATGACAAAAAGAGGCTTCCATTTTTGCCAGCTGTAATCCACTGGTAGTGCCGGCCAAGAGCACTGTTTTAAATGAACCCTGTTTGGCCTTTGCACAAAAGAGCTCTATGACCTCACTCACACTGTGTGTGGGTGAGGAATGTGCCAGGCCAGGTGCTGGGCTGTGTTTTTGGCATCCTTGTCCTGGCAATGAAGGCAGACAGACAGACTACCGACAAACTAATACACAGTTTTCCTTTTTGCTTTAGCTTTTAAGAATATCAGCTTAACGTAAGTAATTATTCAGGGCCCTAAATTCCACCTACATTGATACTAATTTTTATTTATATCCCTATTGATTCACTGACAACTACCCTTCCAGGCCACTCTGCATCCTTTGCAAAACAAAGCAGGATCTATAGAAACAAGTAATATTTTCTGTGTCAGTACTTTAAATCCTCCATGAAACACAAACTCTCCTTCTTTGGCTTCAGACAACTCATTACAACTTTAGGATTGAAGAGTAATAAACACATACTCTTAATAGATTTCTGTATATGTGGCGGCCATCATGACAAATGTCACACCCACCTTTGTAACACGTCCTCTTCTTCTGTTATGCCCACAAGGCTCTATTGCTCAAACTCACTTTAAAGCACGTTCGTTTCAAAATCTGAAAACACGCTTACTGTACTGGGGAATGGTTTCTCTAGCTCTGGATATAATGATAAGGCCGGTAGACCAGAGTGGGATGTTTCTACCTGCACAATCAGCACAGGAGGGAGAGGCAGGTGGACCTGGGATCAGTCCTGGCTCAGTCACCCACCATCTGTGTCCTCTCCAGAAAGTTACGGAGTCCATCGCTAAGGTTCAGCTTTCTTATACAGAACACAGGGATAAAGAGAGTATCCAACTCTCAGATTCACTGTGTGGATTCCATGCCACATCTTATGTAAAGTCCATGGAGTATCCTAAACACTAAATAAATATACCCTCCCTGCACCTTCCCAGCCCCTCATCACACCAGCAATATTTACAGGTGATGTAGAGGAGGGTGAGAGCTTTCAGTCTTATTCACACCAAAAATTGCATTACAGTAGTCAAAATAAAAGTGACCACATAACCTACATATATATATAATGAAATAAGTGACCACATAACCTACATATATATATAATGAAATATATATACATACACAGCCATAAAAAAGAAATAATGCCATCTGCAGCAACATGGATGGACCTAGAGATTATCATACTGAGTGAAGTCAGACAGAGAAAGACAAATACCATATGATATCACTTATATGTGGAATCTAAAACAGGACACAATTAGACTTATCTACAAAACAGACTCACAGACATAGAGATCAGACTTGTAGTTGACAAGGGGTTGGGGAGGGATGGATTGGGAGTTCAGGGTTAGCAGATGCAAATTATTATATATAGGATGGATAAACAAGGTCCTAGTGTATAGCACAGGGAACTAGATTCACTCTCCTGTGATAAACCGTAACGGAAAAGAATATGAAAAAGAATGTGTATATAACTGACTCACTTTGCTGTACAGCAGAAATGAATACAACACTGTAAATCAACTATATTTCAAGAAAATAAATCTAAGCAAATAAGTGATGATCTGAGAATAAAACAGAAAAGAGTAACTGACAGAAGCCCTGTGTGACAATCTGGAAGTACGTTCCATAAAAATCACTGCTTCCTTTCCTAGCTCCTCCCTCCCATGGGAAGTGGGATAAAGAAAGTGGACAAAGGTAGGAACTTAGGGTGGGGACAGTGCCTGTTTTGTTCCCTGATGTGTCCCAAGTGTGAAGGTCAGCATCTTCTCACATGGATTTGGTGCTTCATAAATATTTGATGTAGAGAACTGAATAGTGAGGAAGAAAATAGAATATCGAGTCCTAGAATGTTTCTATTTTCCTTGGCGTTCAGGGTTGAAAATAACGATTTCTATCAGAAAACAGAAAGAAGTCTTTAAGTTTCCACCACAGAAAAGGTGCTTGATCTTGTTCGTTTAAAAAGCATCCGTGAACTGCCTCAGGAACCCCAGGGTAACAGGTTATAAATCCAGTGTACAGAAGCCCTGCTAAAGCTGATGCCTCTTCCATTAGGAGGCCCCTGCCTGACCCAGCCCGAATTTAAAAGGTGCAAAGGCTGAGACAAAGTAGTTCACCTGCATGATACCTGAACAAATTAGTTGATTTACATGTAAGTTTCACAAAAGACCCTGAATAGCCAAAGCAATCTTGAGAAAGAAAAACAGAGCTGGAGGAATCAGGCACCCTGACTTCAGACTATACTACAAAGCTACAGTATAGTACTGGCACAAAAACAGAAATATAGATCAGTGGGACAGGATAGAAAGCCCAGAGATAAACCCACTCACCTATGGTCAATTAATCTGTGACACAGGAGGCAAGAATATACAATGGAGAAAAGACAGTCTCTTCAATAAGTGGTGCTGGGAAAATTGGACAGCTACACGTAAAAGAATGAAATTAGAACGTTCTCTAACCCTGTACACAAGAATACAATGGATTAAAGACCTAAATGTAAGACTGGATACTCTGAAACCCCTAGAGGAAAACATAGGCAAGACACTCTTTGACATAAATCACTGCAATATCTTTTGGATTTGTCTCCTAGAGTAATGGAAATAAAAACAAAAATAAACAAATGGGATCTAATTTTTTTTCTGTGCAGTACACGGGCCTCTCACTGTTGCGGCCTCTCCCGTTGCGGAGCACAGGCTCCGGACGCGCAGGCTCAGCGGCCATGGCTCACGAGCCCAGCCGCTCCACGGCATGTGGGATCTTCCCTGACCGGGGCGCGAACCCGTGTCCCCTGCATCAGCAGGCAGGCTCCCAGGAAAGCCCATGGGACCTAATTTGGCTAGTTCCTACTGTTTGCTCTCCTGATGGGTGAAACAATATACAATGAAATCCACTTAAAGCATAATGTGCCACACAAGAAAGTTAGGTTAATGGGAGTCAGTTGAAAATACTCTGCCAGATGAGCTAATGATTCAGTTTGCTTTTCAAGTAGACTAGCACCGAGCATCATCTTATCACTCTCTTTAAGCACAGCCTGGACACCCAGCATCACTCACCTGCCACTGGTTAGACTGCGAAGTTTTTTGGGAAAATATCAGAGCATTTTGCTTTGACGGCTAGAATCTGATAAGCAATGGCTATTGTGGTAACCAAAAACACAGTGCCGCTCTGAATATGAAGAGAGATGATGGAAACAATAGAGGGACCTGTGAAGAATGGCTTGGACAGGTGACGCTCTATGGTTTATCGTGTCTTAGGTTGGGTTCCATGGAGACAGACTCAGAGATGGAGATTTGAGAGCAGGATGCAGTGGCGGGTACACTGGGGAGAACCATCACTAAAGTAGCCATGGAAGAAGGACTGGGCAGAGGAAAATGCTGAGCTCTGGAGCTCAGACAGCCCTTCAGAATTGTCCCAGATCGAGGCAAGGGGGTTGAGCCTTTGTAGCGCCATCACTGACCTTGGATGTGGGCTGCCCTGGGGAAGAAGCTTAACCTCGAGTGAGGCAGCTCCTTTTAACCAAACGCCCCAGAAGGGATGCAGCTGAGAGCCATCGGCTGCCAACACGCCCAGCAGCGGGTGCAATAAATACTTTGGTCCTAAATGGGTATCTGGATGGCCAATTACAGCAGCCACTGAAACTGGCAGGTTTAAATAACAATATACTGGGCTGGTCAAAAACTTTGTTTGGGTTTTTCCGTATGAGCTTATGGAAAAACCCGAACGGACTTTTTGGCCAACCCTATATTTAAGTGAGCGTAACTGACTCATGATTTGCACAGAAAGGACATTTAGTAAATATTTGTTGAATGGGTGAATGAGCAGTTATTATGAGGGAAGAATGATAAGCACTGGATTTAAACTTCATCAGAAGGGATGTAAAATGAGGCTACAGGAAAATACAGAATCCACTCAGAAACCAGGAAAAGCTCCAGCTCAGATATCTGTAATGTACTTTGCCATTTGGCTGAATTATTAAAATTATTCAGATTCTGCATTTAGTAAGCCTTGGGGAGAAGGTAGAGAGAAAAGTTCCAAAAGGGAACTTGGGGAATCAAGTTACAACAAAGTGAGGGTACCCCTCCCCCATTTCACTGTAAAATAGCTATTATTCCACTACATAAGAGTTTGACAGAAAATTTCACATCTTTAAAAAACAAATAATTAGTCTTGTGTGAAGCAGCAGAGAGAAATGAAAAGCATCACTGATCAACTCCTTCCAAAATTAATGACTCTTCCTGCTTGGAGCCCTTTCAACTAACGTAATCATCATCTAAAGCTCTTTGTGAAGGTCATTTCTGAGCACAGCCTATGCTGCTGTCTAATGGTCCAAGCACCCTTTTCTCCGAGTGTTTAGACCTGCTCACCTTGTAGCCAGCAATTTAATCACAAAGACACTTTCCCAACATTATGCATTCCTACATTAGATGACGTCCTTTACTCAACATCCACATTAAAAAAAAGAGAGAGATATTGGGCTTCCCTGGTGGCACAGTGGTTGAGAGTCTGCCTGCCGATGCAGGGGACACGGGTTCATGCCCCTGTCCGGGAAGATCCCATGTGCCGCGGAGCGGCTGGGCCCGTGAGCCATGGCCACTGAGCCTGCGCATCCGGAGCCTGTGCTCCGCAAAGGGAGAGGCCACAACAGTGAGAGGCCCGCGTACCGCAAAAAAAAAAAAAAAAAAAAAAAATATATATATATATATATAAATTAGATGTTGCAATGAATCCGTTTTATCCCGTGACTTCTACGGTGATTTCAAAAACGCTTCACCTGTTTTTCAGTTGCTTTCAAACTAGGTTTTCTTAGCCCATAAGCATTTCTGCCCCCCAAGATTTATCTGATTAAAGACTTAAAGATAACTTATCAAATATCTTTAAACTATCATGATACTGTAACAAAAATGCATAAATCCATTGTGCTAACTATAAATTTTTACTATGACTCACTGATCTGTTCCTGTTAAGATGAAATCATTTTTGTACGGATCCCAAATGATCCTGCCACCTCTACCTACTTTATTTTTTTTTAAAGTTCAGAGATATTTTTTATTTCATACATTTTTTAAACATCTTTATTGGAGTATAACTGCTTTACAATGGTGTGTTAGTTTCTGCTTTATAACAAAGTGAGTCAGTTATACATACACATATGTCCCCATATCTCTTCCCTCTTGTGTCTCTCTCCCTCCCACCCTCCCTATCCCACCCCTCTAGGTGGTCACAAAGCACCGAGCTGATCTCCCTCTGCTATGCGGCTGCTTCCCACTAGCTATCTATTTTACGTTTGGTAGTGTATATATGTCCATGCCACTCTCTCACTCTGTCCCAGCTTAACACCTACTTTAAAAGAACCCTGATAGAGCAAGTAAACTGACAAATTTTTTTAAAAAACATACTTAAAAATAAATA